AAAGTGCAGACAAAAAAAAAAAAAAAAATCTTCAAACAACCCAAAAATCTAAGTAGTAAACCCAGAAGTAAAGATTCTGTATCCAGCATTAAAAGTACAATTCAGTTCTCTGGTGTCCCACACACAGGCCTGGCAAACAGTCAGGAACATTAGCAGCCTGTGCACTGTCACAGAAACTTTTTGATGCTATAAAAGTAATTTCATCTCTCTGCTCTTTGTATTTGTGCTACTCTTCTATTCCCAGTGGATATTTTTGATATGTGTGCATATTCACAGAAATAGCCAAAGAAAACGTCAAACCACATATTTAAAATGGACTTTCCTGGATAGACTGCATGTTATCTAGCAAACCACAAGTATCTTTTTGAAAGCATAGGGTGCAATTTGTTTTGCTTCTTCTAAATACAATCTTTTAAAGTGAAGATCTTTGTTGAAAGGCTGATGTAAATAAACACGACTGCATTCAGACTTCTTAGCTTGCTAACAGCTAATGTGACTAGAAATTTCATGTGGACATACACTTTGAAGAGCAACAAAAAGTGTACAAAGCAGTCTCTCCTAATAACACTACCTGACAGCCCATTCTGAATGGCACTTAGGAACCTAAGCTAATAGGTGAAAGTATAAGTCTTTTTACCCAACTCTTCTCAAGTAAACCAACTTCTCTTAAAAAAACCCACCTTTTCTGGCTTTATCAGGTTTTGGCCTCAACTGAAGTTGTTGAATGCTTTGAGTATATTCCAGCTAGGAAGATTTTCAACCCCCTGGACATTAATATTCCACTTTGAAATAATCTTCGTCAGATGAGCTGCAAGCATCATTCAAGCAGAGTGAACCGGTTGCATAAAACTTCAAGTTCAGTTCCTTGTGCCACTGGCCACGACAGTACTATAATAGCTAATATACAGAACAGAGAATTTCACTATCTTCAGAAGATCCCACACACCCACTGTGGAACAAATTCCTCTGAATTAAAAATTGTTCCATGGAAAAAGTGGAAGAAAAGGTGGAGTATTCAAATATTTTGAAAGATATTTAACTGGATTTCTTTCTTTCAACCAGCGTTCAGTGCCCAGATGGAACTCTGCAAGTTGTTTTAAGGATGATGTGCTGTACAGTCACATGCATCTGATGATATGGATAAAATCAAAAGAGAAAATGCTAAGTGAAACTAAATATGAACAGAAATATAACAGACTTCCCCAGTTTCAATTGTGAAATGAAACAAAACAAAACAAAAGAAACAGCAAGTACTGAAGAGAGTAAGTCAAATAATCAACATGGTCTTATTTCATAATTAGAAGATTCAAGTTAACACTAGTTAAAAACATATATTCCTGAAATGGTGTCCTCTTCAGTAGAGGATAGAGAAATAATATATTTTGCTACCTTTTGCAATCTCCAAGAGAAAGTATTTCACACTGAAACACTCAGACTAATTTTCCTCTGATTTCAGTATGTCATCTTTAGTTAAAACATGTGTTGTAGTATACACAACACCAGCTGCTTCCACCTTTTAAATACATCTCCATGCAAACCCGCATAAATGAAGTGAGCTTTTGCACTGCAATTTCCTTGTTTTATAATAATGATTATACCTTTTAGCTCACCAAGGGCAATTAGGCCTGTCTGGAGGAGCAAAATGACCACATTCTGTGGTCTCAACCTCGATGAGAATCTCTGTCAAAACACAAGCTAACCTATTTCTTTGCACATTAACCGGCCAGGTTTTAACTCTGCTTCCAACAGACCTCAAGAAAGGTCCCAGGGTAACGTGTCTAACATTGTTCAATTCTTCTCAAATCATACTATAGTTACTGACAAAGGCTTTCTGTTTTCAAAAAGTCCACCACATACCAAAGATAAACAGACCAAACAAAGGATTATTGATCTTCCTGAAAATAACAGCATTTGACAAGAACATAAGCTTAGAAACAATGCTCAGCCCAATGTTACATTGACTTGCTCTCTTGCTTCTGCACACTTCTATCTGGGCAATTATTCTTCATTTCAGATGTTCTCTCACGTTCCCTGAAGTTTACTTTAAGTTTCTATTTAATAGCATTTAGACCAAGAAAAGCAAAATAATTTGTATTTTATAGCGAGCTGCAAGCCACTCAATACGATTCATTATAGCACAGACTGTCTTAAGAGATGCTTCACATCAGCCCTGTGTTATTCCAGTGCTGAATGCAATTCACGTACCCAACAAATAATTACCCAACAAATAATTATGCAAAAGCACATTATAGTGTGTACACTATACACACTGACTAGCACAATACAGTTAGAATAAATACATAGTATCTTGCAACCTAATAGCCAGGAGCTTGCAATTTAGAGCCCATCAATATTGAACGACTTTCTACACAAGCACTGATCTTTAGTATGTGTGCATGAGCAATAGCTTTATTTCTCACACAGATAGCCCTAACTTTAGAAGACTTCAATGTTTTTTTTTCTCTACAATGACTTATAAAATCAAATGTACATTTCCAGAAAAATCTCTTTCACATTAAATATCCCAAGACTTTGGAATTTGAAACTAATATGCTGAACTGGCTTCATCAAGTATTTCAACCTCTTACCTAATATACAATTGCCTTTTACAAGAAGTACTGATTTAGGATAAGCCAATGCAAGTTGCAACAATTGAAATTCTGGCTAGATAAGAGACAAAAAAAAAAAGTTCACAGCAACGGTGGTGAAATGTAGGATGCCTAGCAAGGCTGCAAAATCTCCATCCTTGGGGATATGCAAAACTCAGACAGATGGGGCCCTGAGCAACCTGATCTCACTTGGAAATTGTGGCCCTGCTTTAAGCAGGAGTTTGACAAGATGACCTCCTAAATTATTCTATAATTGTATGACAACATAGGGGATGCCCATAGGCACACAAGAAGTATATTCACACCAGATGTCTTACTATCTGCTTGCTGCTTTTTCATTTTTTAGACATAAGATCCCTGTACCTGAGGAATGATGGACTGCACAGCTTTAAAAGGAAGACACCCATCACTTTGTTCATTTTAACAGTGAGCCAAACACTCACTCTTAAATAACTGCAACCATTGCAGCAGCATTTTCCTCCTCTCAGCCCTCCTGGATACCCAGCCCCCCCCGAAAGCAAGAAGTGTTACAGAACTCGTGCTGGAAATGTGCCTGCTGACCATCACGTAAGCACAGCTCTGGGATACTTTCAGCTACCTAAAGTAGCAAGTGGTTTGGGGGAAGAGATTTGAGAACCAAAAGCAAGGAAGGGGCCACATGATAAAGTCAAGCGTCTGAGTCACACAGCTGGACCGGAGAGTTCAGTCTGTGCTCCCAAGACAGCTTGTGCATTTTTCAATAGAGCAGCAGACACAGCATATACAACACTTGTGCACATTTTGAATGGGATGTACCAGACCAAGAAGCCACATGTAGAGAAAGCACTTACGGGACGTTTTTAATTCAGAGAGAGCCACCGTCTCCTGCAGAGAGGAGAGAAGCTGCTGAATAGACAGTGAGCGGCACCTTGCTTCTTTGAAAGGCTGCATCAGCCATGTTGTGACACGTTCCTACCAGCTCACTTTGCTTTTAAGTTGGGAAGAAGAAAATAAAAAAAAAACCCTAGCACTTCATTGATGGACAGTTGCCAACACCCTCAAGAACTATGACCATCAGGTCAGTCTCTCATCTCAGCTGAGTGCTAGAACCATTAACCCTCTCCACTTTCACTCTCCCAGAGTTTGGTCTCCTCTTGCCTATTAGCCTTCTGGCCTTTTGCCAGATGTCTGCTTTTACATTCCTGGATACATTAAGGCCCAGCTTAAGAACTCTTATGGAACATGCTCCCTGCCAGGACACTGAAAAATCAGCAATGTGAGAGGAAAAAAAAAATAAAAATCTGAATATTCTTTTGTAAACAAATGCAAAAGTAAGAGGAAACTCAAATCAAAGCACTGGTTCTCACACAGACTGCTTGAGACCTTTTATTCCCCCATCTTGGAAACATAGGTGTAAGACACTATTAAAACTAACCAAATTTAATTCAAGAAACTATTTCCCATAACCTAATTTAAAATTCTAAACAACCTCAAAAGAGAGGAATATGTCCTCTACAAAATGTTCTGCTGACTTAAAAAAAAAAAAAATCTGTATAAATTAGCACACATAAGCAGCAATTTCTCATGAATGTTAATACAACCAAACTAAATCCAATAAACATGAAGGGAGAAAAAAAAATGCAAGCAACACAGTTATTGCTTATCTGGAAGAAATGCAAGTTAGGATAAACAGGAATTTTATTTTGTCCTGGTGACAGAGCAGCAGTAACACTTTCAAAGTTCCATCACCCATGTCCCACTGACTGCCAGTACGGTTTAGACCCTCAGCACTTCTGTTGCTTTTGTAAATAAAGACGAGGTTATTTCCAAAATGTTTCCAAAAGTAGCTACTTTTCTATTTAAAGAAACAATATGTTACGCATTTAACCACAGGTGTCCCAAAAGTCTTCAAGCTGCATCCCCTTCCCCACTACCTCAAGTCTACTGTCTGAGCTTAACAGTCACCACATCGGACTTTATTATGATTAGAAGTTCATTGAGGAAAGAAGCATCTCTAATATTTATTTGGATGGTGCCTAAGAGACACTTTCAGGCTGTAAGAAACATGTAATTGCTACATTACCAAGCTGGGGAAAAAATTCTACTAGTTAACAAGAAATAGTTTAAACTGATGATAGGTATTAACAGGTAATGGATACATATGCTTTCTTTAAGCAGCAACTTACCATAAAGAAGTACTAAGTACAAGAGCTTCAAATAACTACCAAGTCTTCCTTCCTGAGGAAGTATATTAATATTAGAACTTCAAAACTGTTCTTAGAAAATTTTAAAGTGTCTGAATCCAGCTAATTAGCTAGCACAATTACAAGGAAATCAACTGACAGCCTATTCAATGGTACATTGGGGAAGATACAAGACTACATCACCGACAACATATTGAAATTTAAATACCTCTTTATTGTCCCTGGAAGATCCAGACTGAATGGAATTTGATAGGAGGATGCTAAAGCATCATCCACAGCCTTGCCTATTTCCTGTAGTTCTCTCAAAGAAACACAGCCAAGTAAAGCAGTCAATTCACAGTCCTGTGACTGAATAAGTCTATCTTGTTCTTCAATTTCTCGTCTTAGCTGTTGATCTTTTGCTTCTAATATGGCCAGTCTTGCTCGGAGGTCTTCAATTTCTTTCTGCACAGAACAGAAACCTGAGTTTACTATGAACCCTGTTAAAGAAATCCCTCTGCCCCTAGAAAAACTCAGTACAAGTCTCAGAAGTAGCATGAATCAAGGTTGTCCAATTTAGAACAACATTAAACAAGAAGATATTCTTTTGTTGCCACACAAAAATTCTGGCATCTGTTGTATTTAGAAACTCTAGTGCTTCCACAGTCTGAAACTCCCCACCACCTCCATTTCAACAATAAATTTCAGGTTCCTCTTCCAACACCAACTGTCAATCACCTTTTACCTTTAAAACACAGGGGTATTTCCCAAGTTTAAAACTTCCCAAAAAACCCCAAAAATCTCAGTACAAGCATGACAACAGAATCTTGCTACAGACAGGCAGCTAAAGTGATCAACCATCTATCCGTCATCCTGCAGAACATCCCTGCAATGGTTCCTCTAGGCTTCCAATCCAACACCAGGCACAGGATGCAAGTGGTGAATTACTGACTACCTGGCCAGTCCTTTTGATTAACAATATTTAATTTTAATTAAAAGCACAAAATCCCTCGACTTCAAATGACCACAGCTTCAACCTCAGGTGCACTCGTCTTGCCAGAAGTTCAAACCCCATACATGATGATACTGACGTTTCTTGCAAGACCATGTTCTAATTTTTCCTTGAAAACCCAACAGATACCTTGCACCCAAGGAAGGACCACTTCGTGAAGGAGTCTGGGTTGCTGAGTTAATAAAGTTATTTAATATACGGCCCTTGGCTCATTTGTCCCAGGATTTGAAAAGTGAGTAAAAACAAAACAAAACACCCCACAAAAAAAAAAAAAAAATCAAAGGAGAATAACTTGCTATCAAAGCACTTGAATGCCATACTGGAGAATTTGATTCTATTCCTACATTTACTACAGTCTCTGTGAAACTTTGCAAACCACTTAAACTGTTATCTCCACACACAGCCACAGACTGAATGTTCACCATATTCCATACAATCAATAAGAGGGGTCCCTGAAGTGCTGTCTACAGACTCTCAACAGAAATTAAAGCTCATAATTCCATGCTCTGACTATTCAGTACAGCTAGAAAGAAAAATGAAAAAACACACCCCTTTTTCAGGCAAATAACTAGGCATTACAAAACTGACATTAGAAATGACCATATAGCTTTTATGGCAATTCATTTCTTCATTCTCTATCTGTAAAATAGCAACAAGAATACCTCTTCACCCAAAGAGATGTTACAGAGATAAAATTAAGTGGTTTTGAATCACTCAGATGCCATGTTGATTAATGTTGTAAAGAGAGCCCATTCACAAATTAATAAATCTGCATCCAAAAAGAGGGTTTGAGTGGCATACAGTAGAAGGGTTCTGGGACTGAATACTGAGTAGTGAAGATAAAATGGGATTCTGAGTATCTGAACCAGCACTTTGCATCTTCAGCAACGTATGCAGCAGGGATCCAGGAAAAAAAGGCATGCTCACATAATTGAAGATTTTCATAAAACATACATACTATGCACAGATAACAGACTTCGGTATTTCTTTGCTTTCCGAGTGCTTCACTTCCAAATCTTAACATTCTTTTAATGTTTTCAATACAATTTAAGTGAAGTTTAGTTCACTAATGCTCATTTTGTCAAGAAACATGCTTTCAGGTCTGCTGCACTGCAGCAAGCTCCCCGAGTATCACTTAAAAAAAGAAGAAACAGTCCTTGCATGTTAAAAGGTAGACTGGCTCAAAAATTACAACTTATATTAGCGCTGCACACTAGATTCATCAATTATTTTCCTCCTTTTTTGGTTTCAAATTTAGCGACAAGAGAACACAGTGGCCCATGTTTCAACCCACAGGCATTTGTCAAGGACAGAAAGGTCAGCAGGTCAAAAACATCAGTTTTGTTTCTTTCGGTCTCAAATTAGGCTTTTAGCACACACAAAGGACAATTCTGTCTCTGTGTTACTGGTTTGGGAATACTGCCAAAATCTTAATAGGCCCTACTTAATACAAAGACCTTCATATTCTGTGAAAATGCAGTAATTGCCATCACTGCAATAAGCAACCTACATGTGAACAGAAAGGCAGATGAACAGAATTTGGTTTTACAAACACACTTTTAGTACCGAAATGTTTTTACAACACAAATAGATATCAGAAGCACACAATCTGCATTCACAGAGAGAAAGCTGTTCTGCTTGGGAATAGTTCACAGGCGTTCTTGGAAGAATGGAAATTTTAGTCAGTAAACTGGAATTCTCATGCGTTCTTTTCCAGAAATGCCAAGAAGCCTTTAATGTGCTCTTGGTCAGCCTCTGGGGACAGATAAAAAAGACTTAAAGTCTCAGCATGGAGCAGCAGATACTATTCAGCTCACTAAATACAAGATGGGAGTTTTACTTTGCAGATTTGAGTTTAAACTGAGATTTCTAACACGACAGCTAATCAGTACTGATTGTAAACCTCCAGCTTCACTTAGGGGCCAGTGTTCTCCATGAAGTACAGGTTACAGTAGAAACATTAATATGTAAATTTTAGATACTGTCACAGGCTCTCAAATCCCTGAAGACAAACACAGAATCAACAGGAGAGAGGGTAGAAGGAAAAGGAAAGTAAAGTAGGGCTGAGAAAAAACAAAACAAAACAAAAAAAAATAAAACCACCACACACACATTAATAATGATGATTTCAGATCATGTGAGATTTTGGGCAGGAGCAATCCTTAAGGGATGCTAGGAGCCAAACATCACAGGTCAGCCTTCTCTAGAACCTCAAATTCATGATAACTTTGATCAAATGCTCATAAATAGCATGCCTATAAAAAGATGTGGCTAATTTGTCCCTAGTATAACTACATAGGAACAAAGATTCACCCGGAGCAAGGATAAAAACATTAGCTGGTGTGGAGTCTGAAGTACAGCCGTTTTCAGTTGAATATCTTGAGCTGGCTGGCTGGATGTCTAGATTATCAAAAATAGTTTTCTGATAACGTTGAATTACAGAGTGTCGTCTCTTACATATAGAAGAAATAAAATCTAAACAATACAAACAGAATGACTAGGATAGAAAAGACATTTCTTCAACTAAGTAAGATTTTGCAATGGCCATCTAATATGCTTTTGTCTATCTCCTTCTGGTTTTCACATATCTATATTTTTATGTGTATACAAACACAGAGATGATTACACTGTCAGATCCACCAAAGGAAGAAAAGCATCAGAAATAATGAGATTTCAATACAAGACCACAGAAGAAAGAAAACTGGACCCACTAGCTCTCTAAGATGTCACATTGCTGAGAGTAATTGCCAAGGTTTAAAAGGAGGTGGACCAAAGACTTGCATTAGACAGTAAACTGATATTTTAGAAGGACAGTGAAAAGAAAGAGCTAAATTTTGCTTACAAGGCTTGCAGATTTAAAATTGGACAGAAGCCATCTTAAAAACATTCCATTTGCCAAATTACCACATTGTGACATCACGTGTCAGCAAAAAGTTATTGTTGGCAAATGCTGACCGCTCCTTATGAAATGCATCAATCACCTTTCAGGAACAAAAGCTGGTAAATCATGTATTTATAGTCAATTCTAAACAGAAATGGATGTAAACTTTTTGTCTTCGAATAAAAACTTCTGAAGATCAGTGAAATATTAAAATGGGAAATTAGAACATAAAGAGAACAATTAAAAAGATAATGAGGAAAGTTAAAGCACGCACACAAGCCACCGAGCCTTCCAGTTCTGCTTCTCTGTAATGAGATTAACACAACTCCTGTGGCTGCCATCTCCAATCATCACTTAGATTATCAACTGGACTACAGCCAAGGCTCTAATTGCTGCACAGAAGCAAAGTCACTATTACAATAAATTTATTTAATTCTGTGTGACAGCTTACAAGCTTTTCTCCACACAGCACTGGTTCTGATAGACAACTTTGCAGTCCTGTTACCTGTAACCATTTCTTTTCTTGAAAAAGCTGGTTTCGTTTTGTGGCTGAAACCTGAATCCTCTCCTGGTAAGCGGATCTCAAAAGTTTTTGTTCATTTTCATGCCAAAGCTGGGTTTCTTCATGTCTAGTCCTTTGAAAGAAAATGACAAAAGCTAGAAATTAGCATTATCACTGAGTATTGACAACTCAAAGATTAAGTAGATCAGAATGCTACACGTTACCTTCAGAATGATTATGTCTTAAACCGATACAGTTAGGGAACAAGAGATTTTTCCTTGGCATGTCATCCTTTATTATCTCAAACATTTACAATGTTTTTACAACACGCTGAAGGAGGAAAAAGGAAAACTTGTATAGCTTCAGGCTTCCCCCAGCTTTTTCATATTTCAGAAATTTATCCATCACTGCCTTGGAAAAGACAAAACTAAGGCATGTAATTTCTATCAATACAGAGAAAAATCTCTCTTAGACAGAAGTTTAGAAACTTGCCAAAGCCATTTTTGCAGCTTCTGTCAGCTTTTGGAGACTACGTTAGAGATCATCTGGAGTGTTTGCTCCACAATGCCAAATTTCACTTCTCTCTTGCACAGCGAGTTCTTTTAAAATTGCAGTCAGTGGGATTCCTCACAGTGGTCGGTACAATCCTCAGCTGTAAATCTTTCCATGATTGGACCTCAAGGTAATCAGTGCATTACATTAAGTGTCAAGTCTATAATCAGCCTCTCAAAATGCACCTGCAAACAATGCAAACCTATTTTGTCTTGCATGTTCCTGCATAAGGGCATGCACACTTGCAAGGCCAATTGCATTTCTGTGTCCATCTCTATAGACAAGTGCATGTATTTCCACATAACAGGTACAGATGCACTTCAACATCTTGTTTAAAAAAAAATACTGTCTCAAACAAAGAATGTTTTTGAAACATGATTTTCCATCATAATCTTGCACAGTAAACACACCCATGCCACATACAAAACATGCATCACAAGTCTAGTTTAAGCATGATTAACCACACAATTAGGATCTCCATGCACAGCTGTTTATCAAGTGTGTAGAAAAAGAGGTTCCTGTCTCCTCTGCAGGACCATCAGAAGATACACATGCTTTACTCCCTGTTTATGGGCTGAAAAATGTATTGTCCAAACACCCATATTACGAGGTGCTAGGCCATCACTGCGTACGTGCCTTAGAATAATTATAGATTGCTGTGGCTCCAACCAACCACACTTCCCAGCAGCTCTGAAGCCTTCTTCTTTTACTAAAAGCTGCATCTTTCTGAGAGGTGGATGCAATAGAAATTTCTGAGTGGCTAGTCAAAGTTCAGGAAACACTCCATGATAAACATAGGTTATTCTCAGAACCTCCTCAGAAATCCCATGTATATCTGCCTACTTGGTACTGAGGAAACAGAAACAAGATCTCTCTGATCTCACCAAACCTGGATGATTGCACAAACAGAGTGTTGTTCCCAACCTAAACATAACCAAACCTGGCTCCTACCACCTGTCCCCAATATACTGTGTCACCACCGAATGTATTAATCTAAAAATTCATCTCATAATTTAATCAAGTAAAACAAAACCGGGGTATGAGTTTCAGTCTCATGTATTAAACAAATAACCTGCCACACACACTTTTCATTTTAAAAGTTCTTTATTTGCAAACAGATGAGTCTGGCTTAACTACAGTAAAACTGCAATGACGTGGTCTTCTGGGACTAGTCTGATCATGTTTTTAATTTTTCCAGGTGAAAAAAAGAAATCTTGGGTATATTGGCTTTGTTCCAATTCAAAATTAAAATGAAAACTGAAGTCTACAAATTTTCCTTAAAGAAATGGTTAAATTTTCCATCCTGTACTATATAAAAAAAACTGTTGGAACAGAAAAGTTTTAAACCCTTCTACTGAAGACAAAGCATACACTTGCTGCATCAACAAGAGAGTCAGACCACAGACAAAGCCGTGTGAAAGGCTACAAGAATCAAGTGAGAAAAAGAAAGGGTGTTACAGCAACAGTCAAACTCAAGCTTAAAGAAATGACATAAGACAGAAAAGAGGATATTCATCTGACCCTGAAGAATGGCACTGCTCTCAGACCTGTGCAAAGAGAAGTGTTACAGATATAATAACCAAAAGAACAGGAATAGTTTTATAAATGTATATATTATATATGTGAGATATATATTTTACGTATAAAAATATTATATATACATTATCTAGGGGGGAAAAATAAGCATACTATGTATTTCAAGGATGATTTAGTGACTCAATTTTTATGACACTGAAGACAACACCACCTCTAAAGCCAAAATCACCATTACAAATTAAAGCATAGAGCAAACATGTCTGAACGACAAAACCACAGAATGTTGTATCCTTATCTTTAAGGCATGGTAAACCAGCTTCTTAGGGCCTCAGAAGGCAGAAGGAAACAGCTTCAAGGGCGTACAGTTTTTTTTTAAACCTGCTTCATTACTAAATACTAAGAAACTAAAAATACCCTTAAAACTCTCAAATTTTTGAAATAAAATCCTATTATCTGTGTTGATTTTTATCTAATTTTCATGTATATCAAAAATTACACCCAAAGGTATTGACTAGCATGTTGCAGCCTCTATATGTACAAGCTGCCAGAAAACAAAAGGTTTTTCTTCTTTTGTTTGTGCTAGCGCATTTGAGAATACCTCCCAATGCCTATGAAGAATCCTCTTACTTCTAAAAACAGTAACTAGTAGCATAGTTAAAGACCGACCTAGAAATAGAGACAAGTTTTTCTTCCTAAGCTAAATACCTCCCTTGGGTCATCTAACACATCTCACATTCCCCCAATCTTTGAAGCTGTTATCCCTTCAAGAGAAGGCTGAGAATTTATTTTTGTGACTTTGTACAGTGCTGAGCACATTACTGCCACCAATAAGGGATGCATAAAAGGAAGCTCCCAAAGCATATCAAAAAAGAATCTGTTTTTACTTTATATTTCAATACCCTTTCATTGCCTGAAAAGGAGCATCAGAATTAACTCCACAGGGAACCATTGCTCAAGCTGCCTTGCTGTTGTATGCTCAAGCTGCCGTGTCAAGGATTCAATCCCCTTCCCACTCAACAACAGTGAGAAAAGTTCCATTTAATTCACCAGTTCATCATGATCAATGTTTTTCATCACAACTCTGAAAGAATTGCAGAAAGAACCTGCAAATCCTGAAAAGCCAAGAGATTTTCATAAACAAGCGCCATACTGATATGTAATAAGGTCCTTAAAACTCTTTATTAAAATTATTCATAAATTGGAGTATGCATTTTGAGAAAAACACAAGCGCCATTTTACATAATAAGGAATCAAGAAAACTTACCAATGATCAGCAGCCCAGCGCAATGCTGCTTGAACTTGGGTAACAAACCTGTCCAAAAAACTGCTAATTGAAGGATGCCTTGAAGGAAGCTGAAATTTTAAAGCATTTTTCTCTTTCTCCAGTTCTTCCAGTTTTCGTCTAAATTTATCAGCTAGAAATTAAATTAAAAAGAAAAAGTTACTGAAGAATGACCAAAAGGTTCCATTTTACCTGAAGAAGAAAAAAGGTCAATCAACAAAAAGTAAAATCCATCTCACAGATGGTTCTCCCCCTTTTGATAAAATGCATTGTTCTGTTTTGCTAAAGGATGAATTACTAAGACTACAATGGAAAACATCAGATAACCAGGATGCCAAGCTACTTCTATGACAAGGACAAAACTGCAGGCTTCCCAGCACTTTCACAGAGTTTTAATTTGGTAAGGCTCCAAAGAATTGGCTCAAAGTTATCATTGTGCTCTTTTCCTAGAGTAACAGCTCTGAATTCAATTCTGAGAAAACTTACTCTTCACTGCTCCAGTTTTAAAACAATCTTAGATAGCAGTTATACATTTGAAGTCTGATCTTTTAAAAAATTGCATTGTTATTAGGTCAAGAACTGAAGAATCATATATGACAACTCAGCAACATATTTCAGCAGAAAATGCATGTGCAATTATAGCAATTAAACAATTATCCTATTCTATACTCTCCTGAATTATGCTTACTTTATCATCCAACAAAAAGATTTACTTTAAACTTTAAACAAACATAAAAGTGGTCCTTAAAAGGGTGCTCTACCATAATTCTATAAATTTCTTGGACTAAACACTTTGCCATGTAAGTTAGTTCTTTGATTTCTTTCCCCGTGTAGAAAACAAAGGAACATAGTTCCAATCACAAATTATTATTTCTGGTATGTGCATTCTCTGCTCTCTATAGTGCCAGTATACTAGCCAAATCACATACACATATGACAGATTACAAGCCTGCCTGGTCCAAGCCAGAACACCTTTGATGATACATTAGTCAAATCAGAGAGTTTTGAGCTAGCCCACAAATGGAAAACCTTTACAGTTCAGTACTTTCCTCATGACCTCACAGCCTACAATTTCACATGACAGCATTCCCTACCCTCTAACAGTTTCAATATGACATGTTACTATCAGAATAAGATACACCTGTGCATGCTTTTTATGGCTTATTTTCTTTCTTTATCCTCAGAAGGGCTTTAAGAAGAGGAGTCGTTTACATTTGCTGGTTTAGTGAAATAATCCATTTTTACAATAATCAATCATTAGTATTGATCTCCCTTCTGCCTCTGTGCCAATGGGGTGGAATAAAGACACCGAACATACTAATGAGACTAGATCTTCTCCCTGGGCCAGCAGACTGTTCCAGGGTAGTTAAACTCACGTTGTTAGGGTGCAAAATGCTGCCAGAATGCTCTAGCTGAAATGATCAACACCCAAGTTACTGCCTTGCCCCAAAAACCGCATGTACACATGTGCATATTCTTCCTGCAAAGGAGAAACACTTTTTCAGCAGTGGAGGTAAACAACATCTGCTGTGCATTTCTCAGGGATCAGAGCTGATCAGATTTGTCCTATCCCTGTCACCACAAGGAAACTGGAATGTGGGCCCAGATGAGACTTCAGAACCCAGACTTTGGCCAGAAAAACATATCAGTATTCGCATTTCACGTGGAATTTCAAACACTGCCACCAAAAATATCACTGTTACAAACAGAGAAGTAAGGGCTGGATTTTGACCAACGACCACTGAACTCCAAAACACGTGGAAACACCTCCTTTTACTCAAACCATTCACCACTGGGCTTCCTCTGTTAGCTGAGTGAGAGTTGTGGCAACCTTCTACAGCCATTTAACGACATTGTCCTTCGACATAATTATGCTCACACTGTGTTTGTGCATCCAATTGTTTCATCGTTCTACTCCTACTCATTCTGGCCTTAGAAACAGGCTATTTTGGGAAGGAAAACAGATGAGGGGATCATCCACACGCCAATTCACACTCTCATTAATTCTTGGCTGCATCCTGCTGTATATGTTCCAGCCTACATAGTATTCAATTAGTTTTTACTAACAGACGTTTCTAAATAATTTGTTCCACTGGCATTTTTTAAGTACTACTGCTGGCCATATCTGCTTGTTACCTCTCAGCACTAAATGTTTTTTTTTATCCTTTCAGCACTGCGGTTAGGGGTTACATCTCAAAACACTCCAGCACCACTGAGCTGAACACCACAGTAGTCTGCTCTCAGGCTCCTCTCCTGGAAAGGAGACCCCTCAGTTTGACCTGGTTGATGTCTTTAGTGGGTGGAGAGACCAAGGCACCTCAGTACCAGCTGCAGAGCAGGGAACCATGCAAATAAGGCTCATCTCAGTCCAGCTTTTAGTGCTGCAGCTCAAGAGCCATCTGGATCAAGCAGAAGTAATGGAAGTGATCAGAAGTCTAGCAAACAGGACACGTGAAAAAAAATGCAGTAAGCAGGGTTCCTTGATCTAGTGGAGATAAAGACTGAGGGGTGTACCATTCCAGTACCACTGCATACCAGGGAGCTGCAAAGAAAGCAGTAATACAATCAATGCTTTTCAGCTCACCACAGAACTTCAGTCCTCAAACTCAAACCTGAGTTGCAGCAAAGGAGATGAAAAACATTAGATATAGTAAAGCACTAAAACTGAATGCTTGGGACAGACAGGAAATCTCCACCAGTGTTGGTTTTCAGGTCAGACAAACATCTCTCAGGAATAGCCCTGGCATAGTTTTTAAGGTTGAGGCCAGCAAGATCAAACATGTTCTCCTGAGAGCCCTTCCCACCATCATCTTCTAGGATTTTTCAACCAAGAAGCAGACACAGAAGGCCTTTGCTATTCTAAGCCACCAGACTCAAGGACACCACTTTCTTTTACCTTCATTTTAGTCTTTTAACATTTCACAGAATCCCAGAGCTCACCGATGGACTAAGACACCAAAAGAAACCACACACACAGATACCTACATCACACACAAAGGCTTTATACTTTGTTGCTCTGTCCCATACTTCACCTCAAAACAAGACAGTTAACACCTATCTTACATGCAAAAAGCAATGCCCCTGTTTGATGAAGTTCTTAAATGAAGGAACTTTAATGTATGTATTCAATACCTACTGTTATACAGCCAAGCATTTGGAATAAGGCTTGATTCTCTTTACCATCCTTTTGTTTCACTATATTCTGTTGCTAGCTTGCTGCCTTGCAGCAGTCTTACAAACATGCTAGATGAAGCTTCTACTTCAGTACAAACAGCAAAAGTTAACACTTAGATTACCCTCCATCCCAATCTGTTACCACCTGGTACATTTCAGACATCCCACTTAAAGCCAACCCAGAGTACAGGCCTGGAAGATGCTGACTAACTGCTGTTCTCAATTAAACAGACATCAGTCAGAGAATTGTACTGTCTCTAAAGATCACACTTCATAACAGCTTTGAGCAAAGAAAGCAATTTCTGTAATTTTTAAATGACCATATCAGAACATCTGGCTACTTCTCTACTTTTTACATATTCGGATATTGGTTTTATTCCCTTGAAGACAAGGTCACTATCTGAACTATTTATCACAATTTAAAAATCATTTAAGAAAATCATCAGAACCTACATTCTGCATATATTTCTGTTTAAGTCTTTGCTGATAGGTGCAAGATGATCAATCATACTATTCTAGAAATTGTTGGACATTAAGAAAGTGTTTCTTCAGCTAGTTCAACTAGATAAGGCGATTCGATCCTGCCCCACAATCCTGTAAACAACCCCCTCCTTTCTCTCACTTCCCCCAAAAATCTGAAGACCTAAACCAGGATTTGTGTAGGGTTTACATGCATAAGTCACACATTTCAGCCCTAAAAATCTTTTTCTTACCTGCTAGATACTTCCAGCGCCAGGTAACCTCCCCAGCCCTCACTTTCTTAAAAACGTAAAGATTCCAGGACAACTGAAGTGTTTTTGTATACTCAGCATCAAAGATATTGTTACCTATTTTGTATGAACTAAAGTCGTCCCAGGTTCAGATCCAAAGACCCCTCCAGCAGCCTGTCACTGACCACACACAGTAGTGGGCCTTTAGAGAGGAGACTAAGAATGAGGGTGCAAATGCCCCTTTTATCTTGATACTGTTCCTGAACCTCTAATGTCTGTCAGCTGAAAGACTTCTTGAGCAAGACACTACTCCTAGATCACTTCACATCCACCAGAAACTTCTCTTTTCTCACACTATCTACACTTTTGGTCTCCAAAATATACTATTACAGAAAATTTCAAAATGGAATTACGAATTAAACACATCTGATGATCTTATTCGGTGGGTGTTTTTTGTTTGTTTGTTTACTGTAAATAAAACAAAACATTCTTTCACTTTCCCTGCACATTAATAACTTATATATCATCATGTTCAAATTACACCACCCATTTTCCAGGACAGAGAGACTTATATTAGCTAAAGCAATGCTACAAAGGCTAGAAAGTGAGGAGTCCAATACAGAGCTTAAACACGTGACTGAAACGTAGCTAGAGAACAGACTAGTAAGCAAGGTGCCTACAGCCCTATTACTGGCATTGGCCTCCTGCAAAATTACTTGCAGGAGGACACGTAGATCAACTAATACCCAAACACGGCACATAAAGACATACACTGTCATAAGAACTGTAGTCATTACAAAGTAAATGCATACTCCAGTTGCTTTAATTTAAGGATAAAATAATTAACCATTTAACAGTACCAAAAAGATACACAGTAGAACAGATTCAATCCCTTGCAAGTTCTAACATCCTAGATATGTGTAAAAGGGAGCTTCAGATTACATTTGGATAGTTGAGCAGCTTACCATGTGCTGTCCAGTCACTGGTACACTGCAAAACCTTTTCTACTTTCCATTAAGCCCTGCATATGGAAACCAGCAAGATAAATCCAGTGCAGAGTCAAACTGCACACCCAGGCAAGGCTGGCTCCAAGAAGGCCTGGGGCTAGGGACAGCCACTAGAATAGCCTGCTGAAGCAACGGGAGCAGCACCTGTACCCCAGAGCTATGCCTACCGTATGACTACATGGACTAAAACCAGATCTGCAGAGTAAAGCAGTTCAGTACTGCGTTCCCAACATCTGCAGTTC